CCCGGCCTGCCTGACTTCGCTATCTCTCTACGGTGTCATCCGTCCATCCATCCTGCACGGATCCACCCGCTGCTGCCAAATCTGCTTTGCCTCTTCACAGCAGGCTCTGATCCGCTTCATACCACTGGCATTTACCTCTACCACAGCTGGGTGACTCAGGGACCGCGACCTGGTCTCTGCCTGCTCCAAGTCCATCCCCACCATCAGGGGCTCTGGTGAATAAGCAGACTGGGGCTTAGACTCCACACCCTGGGGAACCCCGGCCTGTGGATCTCTAGAGTCACTGCCAGTCGGTACCTGACAGAGGTTTAGTATACGGTATGCTAAGTGGGATGGATGTCTGTGCAGTGACGATGCCCCTATGAATTGCGTCAATCTTGTTTTTGAAATGATTTTCAATCTCGTGAGCAGTGAGTGAGGTACTGGGTGGAGGTGGAGAAAGTAGAGAGTTAAAAGTAGAGAAGGGACGACGAGGACTGGATATTGAATTGATGGGATCTGAACCTCCGTCTTTCTTGGATAAATGGGAAAGAGAATTGGGTACAAAAACAAATGACCAACAGAAGATTAAAATGTTTAAGTTAACGCATGGGGTGATGACTATGAACACAGTCAAAATGAATTATAAATGTTTATCTAGATGGTATTGTACACCGAGTGTGGCACATAAACAACAAGGAGAAATACCACCATTGTGTTGGAGGGGTTGTGGGGCAATTGGGACAATGGATCACATTTGGTGGGATTTAATGTAATAAAAGATATAATTAAAAAAAAATATCAGCAGTGCAGTTGCACAGGCTGGACTGGTTACACACGTTGATGTCGCTGATATAGTTCTCCACTTGATGTTATCACACAGGCTGGCTATTGTTCATCACAGCATTGGACTCCATGTCAAGCTTCACTTCCATCCAATAGTGATTGCAGTGCATTGCCTGGCTATCAGCTGATCCATCCCAGCAGGCTGCCTACGTGCCATATAATTTTCATCTTAAACTGTGTGGATTGCTCTCAGCTGAATACACCTTAATCACTGTCTTCTTTCCATCTAGCTTTGGCCACATACGAGGATATATGTCACTACATATCAGCTGGACCCTTATATTGATTATTGGTTGGACTGTCACTTCTTTTGTCTATTGGTCATTGCATAGCAGGTTCCAATAACAGTGTGTTCTATTAGTTTTTATAGACTGGGCGCTTATGCAATACAATTATATGGCTGTATGTCATCACTAGACTGCCTCTCATGTGTTTTTGCATTCCAGGAGCCCTTGGTGTGTAGGTGGATTAGGTGTCCATCTAGCAGGTGATGGGGGGTCGGGGAGTCAGTGGGCTGGTGTTTCATCCTCAGCTCCTCTCTCTCTTTCTGGGAGGGGGGTGATAGGGTGGGTCTGTTTTTTCCAACTGGGGAGTGCTTTGCGGGTTTTTAGGGGGTTTTGTGAGTGGTCGTGAGGGGGGGGGGGGGGGGTGGGGTTGGTTCATGGGGGGGATTACACCATTGAGACAGTATAGACCTAGTGGACACCTCTTCCATCTTTTGATGTCCTACATGGAGGGTCCCCTTTCCTTTGGGGTCGGTGGTCCTTGTGATGTTGGATCTTTACGCTGTATTTCCAATGTTATATTTTGTGCTTGTTGTAAAATAAACTTATTTTGAGGTTAGCCTACTAGGTGTGCAGCCTTTTTTCTTTGTTTTTTGATGGTTTAATAATACGGAGGATACAACAGTGTAAAATTTGCCAGCAGAAAGAGAGTTTCAACTGCACATAGTAGGCCTAACTGGTGTATAGGTAACGTTTACTATGAAGATGGGGGTAAAGGTGAGTTATAGAATTTTATGTGGTTTAGGAGCACACTGTTTTTCCATTTAGATTTTTTTTCAAATGATGCAGTGGCATGCTGTGAACAAAAGTCAGGTCCAAGAACAGATGGTCAGTATCAAATAAATGCTTTGCTTTGAGCAACACAATCCTAAAAAATGCCCCATCAACAATAATACCAAAAAATTTTTTTTTTTAAGGAAGACTTGCAGCAAGAAACAAAATGGTTTCTATGTGTGGAACATCAGCTAAAAGTAACCATTGATCTAAGATTAACCACAATAAAATACAATGTAAAAGAATATCGCAAATGGTGTTGATTATCTAAATGTGGGGTTGATTTACTAAAATTGGAGAGTGCAAAATCTGGTGCAGCGCTGCATACTGTAATAACCAATCAGCTTCCAGGTATCAAGCTCAATTGAACAGGAAGAAGTTAGAAGCTGATTAGCTGCCCAGCTGCATCAGATTTTGCACTCTCCAGTTTTAATAAATCAACCCCATGGTTTCCTAAGTGAACCTAATCTGTCCCTATGCAGCTTGTCAGCTTTCTATATCCTTTCCCTACAGCAGCTTACCATAAACTATCACTTTAGGCTGTACTGCATCCCTCTTTTTATAGTAAAGTTGCTTGCAACAACAAAAGTCCTCTTATTGTCCTTTATATGTCTGCTGGCCTAGTTTATAGGTCATACAATGCATTATTGTTTGAAAATAATCCCTAGATAAATTTGGATATAAATGTAATAGGAAGGCAAAATTTGAACCTACAGAATTTGTTGCAAAACCTTCGTAGTGGCAAATATGAACCCCATCCCTGGTTTTAATGTCTGAATATTTATTTTCTGTTGATAAAATGCCAGTAAAATTAACCGCCACTAGATGTCACCATTGTGTTTAGTCTAGCCTGTAAATACTTCCTTTCATAGAGATTATTTCTAGAGATGAGCGAATTATTCAAAAATTCGGTTCGGCGAATTCGCCGAAAAAATTCGATTCGATCCGAATATATTCGCCGTGAATTTAACTTATAAAAAGGGTGTTTCTAGGCTTCAGAGAGCCTTTATATTAGTGCAGAACACTGTACCTTTAATTTAAATGCCCTTGGAGTCTGCTGGGGAAGAGAAATAATACTGTCAGTCAGTATGACATGCAGATGAGTGCCGTCGATCTTAGAATCACCGCACACTTCACTCATTTGGGCAGTCACGGGGCCAAAACCAGAGTGTGGAGCCACAGTGTGGCGGTGGAGGCAGCAGCAATGGGAGGCCATACAGCACCCTATGACAAAATGGAACCCACCAGCAGTGTGAGGAGACCTGAAAGTGGCACATGGCAGAGTGTGGCGATGGAGACAGCAGCAATGGGAGGCCGTACAGGGACCCATGACATACTATGGACCTGGCAGCAGCATGAGGAGGCGGTACAGGGGCCCATGACAGATTACGGGCCTGGCAACAGCATGAGGAGTCGGTACGGGGGCCCATGGCAGATTACGGGCCTGGCAGCAGCATGAGGAGGCGGTACAGGGGCCCATGGCAGAGTGGCGGAGCGTAAGCAGCTAAAATTGAAGGCCATACAGAGGCCTATGTTAAAAAGTCCCCCCAGCAGCAGCGTGGGGAGACGACTATCAAGAGTCCAATGGCAGAGTGGCGGAGCAGAAGCAGCTTCAATTGAAGGCCATACACAGGCCTAGGTTAAAAAGCGGAAGCCGTCAGCAGCGTGAGCAGACGACAGAGACACATGGCGCAGGGTGGCGGTGGATGCAGCAGTATTCGGAAGCCAAACACAGGCCTCGGTTAAAAAGCGGAAGCCGTCAGCAGCGTGAGCAGACGACAGAGGCACATGGCGCAGGGGTGGCGGTGGAGGCAGCAGCAATGGAAGGCCATACAGCACCCTATCACAAAATGGAACCCACCAACAGTGTAAGGAGACCTGAAAGTGGCACATGGCGCAGGGTGGCGGTGGAGGCAGCAGTATTCGGAAGACATACACAGGACTAGTTTAAAAAGCGGAAGCCGTCAGCAGCGTGAGCAGACGACAGAGGCACATGGCGCAGGGTGGCGGTGGAGGCAGCAGTATTCGGAAGCCATACACAGGCCTAGGTTAAAAAGCGGAAGCCGTCAGCAGCGTGAGCAGACGACAGAGACACATGGCGCAGGGTGGCGGTGGATGCAGCAGTATTCGGAAGCCAAACACAGGCCAGGCCTTTAAAAAGCGGAAGCCGTCAGCAGCGTGAGCAGACGACAGAGGCACATGGCGCAGGGTGGCGGTGGAGGCAGCAGCAATGGAAGGCCATACAGCACCCTATCACAAAATGGAACCCACCAACAGTGTAAGGAGACCTGAAAGTGGCACATGGCGCAGGGTGGCGGTGGAGGCAGCAGTATTCGGAAGACATACACAGGACTAGTTTAAAAAGCGGAAGCCGTCAGCAGCGTGAGCAGACGACAGAGGCACATGGCGCAGGGTGGTGGTGGAGGCAGCAGTATTCGGAAGCCATACACAGGCCTAGGTTAAAAAGCGGAAGCCGTCAGCAGCGTGAGCAGACGACAGAGACACATGGAGCAGGGTGGCACATGGCGCAGGGTGGCGGTGGATGCAGCAGTATTCAGAAGCCAAACACAGGCCTCGGTTAAAAAGCGGAAGCCGTCAGCAGCGTGAGCAGACGACAGAGGCACATGGCGCAGGGTGGCGGTGGAGGCAGCAGCAATGGAAGGCCATACAGCACCCTATCACAAAATGGAACCCACCAACAGTGTAAGGAGACCTGAAAGTGGCACATGGCAGAGTGTGGCGATGGAGACAGCAGCAATGGGAGGCCGTACAGGGACCCATGACACACTCTGGACCTGGCAGCAGCATGAGGAGGCGGTACAGGGGCCCATGACAGATTACGGGCCTGGCAGCAGCATGAGGAGTCGGTACGGGGGCCCATGGCAGATTACGGGCCTGGCAGCAGCATGAGGAGGCGGTACAGGGGCCCATGGCAGAGTGGCGGAGCGTAAGCAGCTAAAATTGAAGGCCATACAGAGGCCTATGTTAAAAAGTCCCCCCAGCAGCAGCGTGGGAGACGACTAATAGTCGTCTCCCCACGCTGCTGCTGGGGGGACTTTTTAACATAGGCCTCCGTATGGCCTTCAATTTAAGCTGCTTACGCTTTGCCACTCTGCCATGGGCCCCTGTACCGCCTCCTCTTGCTGCTGCCAGGTCCAGAGTGTGTCATGGGTCCCTGTACGGCCTCCCATTGCTGCTGACTTCATCGCCAGACTCTGCCATGTGCCACTTTCAGGTCTCCTTACACTGTTGGTGGGTTCCATTTTGTGATAGGGTGCTGTATGGCCTTCCATTGCTGCTGCCTCCACCGCCACCCTGCGCCATGTGCCTCTGTCGTCTGCTCACGCTGCTGACGGCTTCCGCTTTTTAACCGGGCCTGTGTTTGGCTTCCGAATACTGCTGCATCCACCGCCACCCTGCGCCATGTGTCTCTGTCGTCTGCTCACGCTGCTGACGGCTTCCGCTTTTTAACCTAGGCCTGTGTATGGCTTCAGAATAATGCTGCCTACACCGCCACCCTGCGCCATGTGCCTTGCCTCTGTCGTCTGCTCACGCTGCTGCCAGGTCCATACTGATTCATGGCCCCCTGTACCGGCTCCTCATGAACGTGGTTCAGCGGGTTTGCATCACTTAACGGCAAATCGTTGACAAACGCTGGGACGTTCAGTGTTGTGCGCATTAAGCCAGACACCAAAGGGCAGCACAGACCTGTTATTACTCGCTCAAGCATGGCTGAACAAAACCAGTCTCTACCACAAATTGGACCCAGACCTGCCCAGGGTCTCGTAAGTAGATTGCACGGAGGAGTAGAGTTCGTTATTGGAATTAACTGTGAGGGACTTTTAAACCTAGGCCTGTGTATGGCCTTCAATTGAAGCTGCTTCTGCTCCGCCACTCTGCCATTGGACTCTTGATAGTCGACGACTGCGTGTGGGTCAGGAGACAGACCTGTCTCTAGACCGGCTACCGAGCCACTCTCCTCGCCAGTACTTCTTCGCCTGGCTGCTGAAGAGGCGGATGTCTCCCCCCGTTCCTGACCGCCCTCTGTTAGCTCTTCCTCACTGTACAGTGGGGCTGAGCCCACAGCATGCGATACTTCGCTTGGTGAGGGAACACCAAAGGACAGGGGCAGGTAGAGGACATGTGATTTCAGTGGGCTTGCTCCCGGGCCATGCCAACTAACGGTTGTGTCTGACGTACACACCGACCGTTGGCTGTAGGTGTCAGAGGTGACCTGGGAAGAGGAAGACGACCGAGTCAACCAATCGATGACGGCAGGGTTGTCGGTGGAGACACGACCGCTGGATGATACAGGGAGCACTGGCCTCTGGCTGCGACTAGTGCTGCCCTCGACCCCTTCCTCTGCTGCCACGTCTGCTCGCTCCTGAAACATTGCCTCCTCTGCCACTCCTCTGCGTGTTGTCTGACATACTCTTTAATTCAATAAGCACCACAAAAATAAAACGGATTTAACTCTTTGAACGTACAATAGTGGTTGTGAAGCAGAAAGTCAGTTTATTGTACACAATCGGTCAATTGCAGCTTGCCGTTGGCTGGAAACTGTACGTTTCTGTCACTGGAATGCACTAATCACCCAAAAAATATTACCGCCACCCGGCGTGTATATGGATTTAACTCTTTGAACGTACAATAGTGGTTGTGAAGCAGAAAGTCAGTTTATTGTACACAATCGGTCAATTGCAGCTTGCCGTTGGCTGGAAACTGTACGTTTAGGTCACTGGAATGCACTAATCACCCAAAAAATATTACCGCCAGCCGGCGTGTAAATGGATTTAACTCTTTGAACGTACAATAGTGGTTGTGAAGCAGAAAGTCAGTTTATTTAGCACAATCGGTCAATTGCAGCTTGCCGTTGGCTGTAAACTGTACGTTTATGTCACTGGAATGCACTAATCACCCAAAAAATATTACCGCCCCGGCGTGTATATGGATTTAACTCTTTGAACGTACAATAGTGGTTGTGAAGCAGAAAGTCAGTTTATTTAGCACAATCGGTCAATTGCAGCTTGCCGTTGGCTGGAAACTGTACGTTTATGTCACTGGAATGCACTAATCACCCAAAAAATATTACCGCCAGCCGGCGTGTAAATGGATTTAACTCTTTGAACGTACAATAGTGGTTGTGAAGCAGAAAGTCAGTTTATTTAGCACAATCGGTCAATTGCAGCTTGCCGTTGGCTGGAAACTGTACGTTTGTGTCACTGGAATGCACTAATCACCCAAAAAATATTACCGCCAGCCGGCGTGTAAATGGATTTAACTCTTTGAACGTACAATAGTGGTTGTGAAGCAGAAAGTCAGTTTATTTTGCACAATCGGCAAACTGCAGCACCAACTGTGCACGACAGCCACCAAAAAAAAAAGGGTGTATGTCACTTTAAATTTTTCGATTCGATTCTTTGATAGCTGTGGCCCTGAGTAATGATTCTGTGTCCCTGAGTAACGATTCTGTGTCCCTAAGTAACGATTCTGTGTCCCTGAGTAACGATTCTCTGTCCCTGAGTAACGATTCTGTGTCCCTGAGTAACGATTCTGTGTCCCTGAGTAACGATTCTGTGTCCCTGAGTAACGATTCTGTGGCCCTAAAGTCTTTGTGGCCCTAACTCTGTCCCTTCATACACACAGGTCTGTCTCTCTTGAATGACCGGAGGCTAATGGAGAATTCTAAGATGGCCGCGATTTATAGCTCCACCATTACACAGTGCTGGCTGGCTGGCTGCTGATTGGCTAATGCGATCACATGTCATGAATGAATGCATTATGGGTCAGCGCGCCTTGTCTGCGCGCCTTCCCAGAGATCCCCCGCTCCGTCGCCACACATGTCGCCGCCATTTTTGGAAAATTCGATTCGTGCATCCGAAGTGTGCTAATGTTCGGATTCGGCGCGAATCGAATTTTTCCAAATCTTCGGAACGAATTCCACTTCGTCATGTTCGATTCGCTCATCTCTAATTATTTCATTTACAGTTTTGCTCTGAAGACATAAAAAACACTTTCAATATATAAAATTAAGCATACATGCGTTAAAGTGAACAAAAAAACATATTACTATTATAATAAAAACACGTAACATGTGATTCTCAAAGACAAAATTAACCACTTGAGCTCCAGAGGATTAACCCCTCTTAATGACCAGGCCTCTTTTTGCTACTCGGCACTGCACTAATTCAACTGATAATTGCGCGGTCATGCAATGCTGCACCCAAACGAAATTTACGTCCTTTTTTTCACACAAATAGAGCTTTCTTTTTCGGTGGTATTTGATCATCTGTGCGCTTTTTATTTTTCACGCTATAAAAACAAAAAAAAAGCCCAAAAATTTTGAAGAAAAACAATATTTTTTACTTTCAGCTAAAAAAATATATAGTAAACTCAAAGTTGGTTATAAATTTAGGCCAAAATGTATTCTGCTACATGTTTTTGGTAAAAAAAATCCCAATGAGTGTATATTGATTGCTTTGTGTGGAAGTTATAGCGTCTACAAACTATGCTATAAAACTACTGCAACTTACGCCATTTTTCTGCTATACAGCACTGCGCTAGTTTAACGGACAATTGCGCGGTCATGCAATACGGTACATAAATTAAATTTACATTCTTTTTTTCCCACAAATTGAACTTTCTTTTGGTGGTATTTGATCGCTTGTGCGGTTTTTTTTTTTTGCGCTATAAAAAAAGGCTGACAATTTTGAGGAAAAAAAAAACAATATTTTGGACTTTTTGCTATAAAACATGTCCAGTAAAAAAAAAATGCAAAAATCAAATTAAGTCATAAATTTCTGCCAAAATGCATTCTGCGACATGTCTTTGCTAAAAAAAAAAAAACAATACCTGTAAATTAATTGGTTTACGTGAAAGTTATAGCGTTTACAAATGGCGGGAAAGATACTGGGATTTTTAGGTTTTTTTTTATACTAATAATGGCGGCGATCAGTGAATTATGGCGGCGATCAGTGACTTATGGCAGCGACCAGCGACTTATGGCGGGACTGCGGGACTGCGGCGGACATTCTGACATTGGGGGGTACTGACTTGGGGTCACTGACATCCCCAAAAACACTAATACAGTGATCAGTGCAAAAAGAAAAACACTGACACTGTACTAATGGCACTAGGGAGGAAGAGGTTAACTTTATTTTGAAGGGAAGGGTTATCTGAGTGAGGGGGAGTGTTTTACTAGGGGGCGGGGTGTGTACTGCATGGGACACCGCTGATCGAGAGAGAGAAAATCTTCTGTCTCGATCAGCTCGTCCTCGAGCTGACAAGGAAGTGACAAACAGCACAGCTACTGCAGCTGTGCTCTCTGTCACTGTTTACCACCGATCGCCGGGAAACAGCCGCGGCGGTGATCGCGGCGGTGATCGGCGGGACAGATAGGGTGGCGGCGCGCCTCGCGCTCGCCCCCTATCTGTTTACAAAACACACGTTTTAAAACGTGGTTTTGCCTGCCAGTGCCGCCCTGCCGCCGTATTTCTACAGTGGCAGGGCGGCAAGTGGTTAAAGTGGAACTTCAGGAAAAACTATTTTTTTACATTTGCTACATGCCATAAATTAATCTCTGTTGATGGGGATGTTTCATGTGTGCATACTGCAGAATTAGGTAAAATTCATACTTTCATTCATCTTTACAACTACTATCAACACTACAATCTACGGACTTCTGGCACTATAAATCACAGTTCCATCACTCATTGTTGCTTACTCTCCTACTTCCTCAATTAATAAAACATCTTTTATTATTTTGACAGAATACACAGCATTCTGTAGTTAGACAAGGAGAAAGGAGATGTAGCATTACCCTCGTAAGAGCTGCTGGATTTGGTTTGGTCCCTCTATGCTCCGCACAGCCAGACAACATGCATTTTCCACACTTGCACCTTCAGTGACAGTAAAAATAGTCATTAAACTGGTTTTTAGATGTTTTTTTATTAAGGGGTTAACAATTTTGGATGGATCTAGGGGTATAAAGGATGCCCAAGGAATTGTAGAACTCAAGGACAAATTTCCTAACAACTATGTACAAAAAGGGTGGACTGGTAAAAATAAAAAAGGGTGGACTGGTCCCTTTTTTCGGTGTACCTCCTCAGATCCCAGATGAATCCTCCTCTACACCCAACTGTGCTGAGGATCAA